TCAATAAAGGGTATTGATGCATATATCAAACAAAAGGCGCCATTCTCTTATGGGTGTTTTTCATCCATCTTCACAATCTATCTGATAAGAGAAGGTGTCTAGTGAAGTGGTTGAGAATTATATATAGTTCCTCTCAGTTGTTAACGAAGCTGATTTAAGGTATATAACAGTCGGAGTGATCCGCAACCTCGCTAATTCTAGACGTTATTTTAAATAAATCATTACAAATTGTATTACAATCTGATTGCCAGCTTTTCAAAGGGACCTTTGATTAATTATTGTTGATATGAAAAGCTCAAATTTTGGAAAATTTTAAATTGAAAATTTTTTATTGTTTGTTCCATGCACAGATTGATTGTTTCATTTTTCTATTATTTATTTATTTAATTTCCTACAAATTTCTATAGTTATTGTTATAAAAAATGGTAGCATGTGTCGGACATGCGAACTTTGCTTAATGCGTGTATATATGTGCGCAGCAGCTTGCATTGAAGCATTATATACGAGCTTTGAAAACGAATACATTAAGCAAAGCCGTATGTAACAAGTAAAACCATTATAATCGGGCAAGATCGATTATTAAATGCCTTACGATACTTCGCCTATTATATTTCATTGATTTTCGCTTGGTACCCAAAGTACCCCAAAATTATGCCTTGTTTCCACATAAATGCGTACTTTTGTTGAAGCCCTTTTATGGGAAAGGACCTAAAACATGACGCGGTCCCAATTTACTACAATTACTTTTCTACTCAAAGGACTTATTACCGTTCACGTATATTCACCAGAGAATATTGAAAATTAGATATTTTTGTGTAGGGAGGGAAGGATTAATTGAAATACTACAACATTTTTCATATAATAAGGTTTCGAAAACGAAGCGCCTATAGGGCAATGGTCATAAAATGTTCCTATTCAAGTCATTTTCAAAAGGTCCTACACACTGGTGTGCCAACTTTCGTGTAGATATATTGAAAATTGCAACGAATAGGCCGACAGACAAGCTAAAATCGATTCAGATAAAGCTCAAGACAGAATTCTAATTTACTTAAATTCATTTCATTTGCTTATAAAATTGTGTCATATGTGAACACGATTTCCTGTACCTCTGCGTAACTAATAAAATCTAAGCAGCACACAATTAAACGTAAACGATTTGGTAGTCAATTATTAGACACATAAACTTCTAGCGCTAGGAGATGCGCTACACAACTGCTTACAATAGCTTAATATTAGCTCTCAAATATTTAGCGAGTGCGAATACAAACTCTTGGATACCATCATTCAAGTGCTTATGGTTTGCCATATAAATATAAACTTATAGGGCTTATTAGAAGAACATAAGCGCAGAAGGATATTTGCCCTTGCATCATTTATCGTACGTTTATGCGAATGGATCCATAATCGTTCTCAAATTTAATTTAAACATGTTTGTGCGTCGCTTTCCCATCTATCTACTGCTTCCTTATTTTATTATTTTATCATAATGCTAGCAAAGTCCAAATTAATCAAGACTTTAACGAAGCATTAATACCTATTCGCCCTTTCAAGTGAGACCGTTTATCAAGGAGTAGATTATTAACACTTTGTAATTACGGATCCTATAAGATTTATATATCTTTTTTCTTCCTTTTTATTACGAAGACCAAATTCCCGGTGCACTGTGTAAAGAAAACTTGAGTTTCTAATGTATTTAAGAGAAAAAAATACTTCACAGCTCTTCAATTTTTTACAGTGTCCGTGAAGAGTTAGTAATGTAGTACACTACTCAGTCCATTCATAACAACCAACAATTTTCATGATTATTACGAGCCTAGTGTTCGATTAAACTAAATTAGTTAGCCTATGTGTCGGCTAGAGCTCAACTTCTAGTGGGTAAGATTGACATAAAAAGGCAAAAATCACTGAATCTTATTAAATGTCTTTACATAAAAGACTACAGTTCGTCAGCACGCGGCAGTAAAATCTAAAATCTGAATTCATCGTTTCATACCAACAATTTAGGAGTGATGTGTATTAAGCGAAAATTGTGCGACTTTTCCTCTAATCCTAATCGAAGTCAATCAGTAACTGTTGACGTAGAAATTCAATTAATTAAGTTATATAAAATTGTCTAAGCTTTAAGTACATTTGCAATGTAATGAAAATAATTTAGAAAGCAGTGTTAGTTGAGAATTTCATTGCATATGCATTTTGTACTGTTGTTGTTGTTGTTGTAATAATAACTTCGATTTTATATCTGACAAGTTCAAGTTGTTGAGTCACTTTATATACTATTTTGCTAATATAGAGATAATTTAACAGTTATTTTAATTAAAAAGTTAATTACCGATTTTATATTTTAAGTATGAATGATGAAAACTTCTCTTTTTTTTATATACTAAGTCTTTAAATTAAATAGTAATCTGCTTCTTCCTGTTTTCTTTTTTAGTTTTTTTTTTTTTTTTTTTTGGGAATTAAACTCAATCCTTTGCAAGTCAGTGTGGCAAAGAACGTTTCATAAAGTTTTGAAAGTAATTAACTGCAATACTTAAACACCCACAACAACTGCATTGTATATTAGTTTGCAATTTAATCGTTTTATTACTTTTTTTTATCATTTTGCTTCCAACAGATTTGTGAATTTAAAGTGAATAAAGCGTATGCCATTGTCAGTTCATCAGTAAGTTTTTGGATTCCGGGTATTGTAATGCTGTCAATGTATTATCGCATATATCAAGAGGCCGATCGGCAAGAACGTCTTGTCTACAGGTATTGCTATGTTAGAAAATAAATCAAATATTAAAAAAAACGTTTACAAAATTCTTTTCCATTTCTTACGTGCACCGGCATTCCGCAATTTTATTATTTAAAGGTCCAAGGTCGCGGCTTTATTGTTGGAGAAACATTTACAGATAAGTCAAATACCGAAACCACGTCCCAGCATACAAGTTGAACAATCTACCATCAGCACTATGCGACGTGAACGTAAGGCCGCCCGCACATTAGGCATTATAATGAGCGCTTTTTTATTATGTTGGCTGCCATTCTTCCTTTGGTATGTGTGTACATTAATATTGCTCATCCACACAGCCGTATATTAATGAATAAGATAAAAGTCATTTGCTTTGCTGTGCAAGTTTGATTTCATATCCTTTGTTCTATTATACATTTCATTTTCTTTTCGCTCAATGAATTTTTATAGAATTTTTATTTGATTCGCTATATGTTTGCGAAATATTATTATTTTCGGTAAATTTTTTTGTTTGTAGGTATATAACTTCGTCATTGTGTGAAAGTTGTTCGACACCACGTATCGTGGTTGGCATTTTATTTTGGATCGGTTACTTCAACTCGGCATTAAATCCTATAATTTACGCCTACTTTAATCGGGATTTTCGAGCTGCCTTCAAAAAAACTCTAAAGGTTAGTATGTGACTTTTATACACATTAACCAAAAAAAAATATTCATTTATTTATTTAAAAATGAAACGAACACGTAAATAATTGAAAGGAGGGGATGACATTATAGTCATGCAAGCCATTAAATACCCTGCGCTACTTCGTTTACAAATAATTCTTTGCTTGTTTTCGTCACATAATACCAAAAACTACATCTTGTTTACATGTAAAGGCGTACCTTTCCAAGGCGGCCTTATAAAATTGAAATTATGTTTCTTGTCAAGAACCTCGTTATTCTTTATTTATTGCCGTCATTAAGTGCTACAAATCAGATTTTCTTAATATTCAAAAAAGCGACCAATGAATTTAATATGACAAAGTATTAATAGCCGGTGATTTGTTGAAAACTTCCAACCTTACGGCAGTAATCGCAAAAACGATCTGACCAAAATCATTTTCAATAGGGTTCGTCCTTCGGCCAAGACACCGAATATTTCAAAAGTTGTAACTTATAGACTGAACACAAAAATGCGTGGACAGAGACGCTTAAATCGATTCGAGAGATCACTTCAAATCTCATCGATGTAATAAAATATGGACATATTTCCAATCTTCCTGTGGTTTACATGTATTCGCACAAATATAATATCGATTATACCACAAGTGATATAAGGTGTAATGAGGATAGGTCTTAGTCCAGGTTGCGCACAAAATAAATTTACAAGGCGCCTATGAAAGCCAAACAAATAGACAATAACAGACAAATGAGTCCGCTAAATACACTTCTTAGCTATTTTGATTATTTTAGTGATTTGCAAGAAAACCTTAAAGAAAGTAATTATGGAAAACTTCTTCATATTTCTTTTAAATGGGGTGTAGAATAGAAAGTATCGATTGGCGTAGTTTAATTATTAATTATCCATTTTTTATTTTTCCTTTTCTCTATACTATTTGCCATTTGCTATTTGCCGCAATTGCTTTAGGTTTTATCTTAATATATTTCCGCCTTTTACCGGATTATTTGCTTGCATTATAAATCATAAAATATTTCTTATTATAATCGCGTTTACTGAAACAAAATTTCCTCTTATTACACAGCTGGCATTATCATATTTCATACTGCGTCTTACAGCAAACATTTGGTAAAAAAATATTTCAAAATTAAATGTGAACATTTGTCGCTTGCAAACTCTCCGTACAACCTTAATTGGTAAATTCTTTTTTATCATTTTATCATTTATAAGCAATTAATGTATTTTTAGCATTGTACGTTTTTTTAAGCCCAACACCGGAGTAGCTTAACACGCCTAGTAACAATTAAGGAAGCATGTATTGAAGCATGATATCTTAAAATAACGTCCATCCGTCTATCTCTAATTTCACCTTAAAAAAGTTCAAGTCAACTAGAGCAATAAAGTGATCTCGAAAAGTTAACCACAAATTTGATTAACATTTTTATTTTTATTTATTTATTTTTTTCGTAATTTACAGACTGGAACTCCTAACAAAACCATATAGAAATTTGCCGGCAACGAGAACGATTTGAGTGTGTATATATGTTACTTGCAGGTAACTTATACGCAATGCTATCCGGAAGCTTTTGATCTGCGCTACATAATATGCAACAAATTTTAATATTAGCATATATAGAGCCTAATAGTAGATAAAATTCCAAACCCTCGATTAATCACAAAGAATCAAGTGAACGCAGTAATTGTAACCTCGTAGAGGTTAAACACTATTTCGATAATTTAGTACATTTCCCGTCAGAAGACGAGCATAGCAGCATATGCATCTTTTCAGTCCACCGTTAGCCACCAGGAATGTGTGACGTGGGCCTCACTAAATACGTAAATTATAAAACAAACAAGTATAGGCATCCGTTTAGACTCCTTGCCTTTATTCCTGGTTGCAGTTAGAGAAAAGATTAGTAATTATGAACAGTTCGCTCGAAACTGTATTTATTAGCTATTATGCAGCTGGAAAAGTCTTCGTCAAGTTCTTAACTCTTAATTGGTGCATAGACACCTCACAAACTCCGCTTTTAATGTGTTTACTCGAGGCGTAGAACATCTTTGATTTCCCTCCAAGCAAAAACGGCTTTGCGTGTTTAAACTCAAAGTATATAGCAGCGTAGGTGAGAGACTCGCTCCACAACGACTATTGCTTCTCTGATTGATTTATTAATACGTTTATCATTTTATTTGTAAAGAATAAAATTTTTTTTAAAGCTTTTCTTAATCTGCACAACGCTTTGAATATTTCCAATGATTTTTCTTTCTTATTCTTTTGATTTTATATAATATACATTTCAGTTTGGCCCGGGTGTTAATAAACTATACATTTTTAGGAACATAATCAATAATAATGTCGGAATAAAAACTATATAATAAAATGATAAACGAACTCTTTATTGCGTACAACTTAAGTGTAGAGCTTAAAGAATGCATTTTAATGATCCAAACATATGATAATTTGCTTCTGCTGTTATTTCGTCTATTTTTGCACATGCCTTACCTAATGCTTTCATCAACAGTTTTGCAGCCCTCATAATCTTATAAACTGTCGCGTTAGTGCCGGAGTTGAAATGCCGCCCTTTGTTAACTCCACAGCTTCCTCAGAGATACACATGAATATTATACGGGCTCGTCAATACGCGACCTCAGCATCGTCCGCTCAACTACAGACTCTATATCAATAAATAAATAATTTATGTACATCGTTGAAAATAAGTTAAAGCGACAGCCAATTTAAACCGAAAACCACGTAAGCAAATAAAAATTAGGTTTAGTGTATATGTATGTATCTATGTTAGTTATAATGTATTTGTAAACGTAAAGACATCCCCGACGCTGAAAACTAAAAGCAAAAGAAAAAGAGCTGAACACAAAGACCATTGAAAATCCCAGAGCTCAAAGAGAGATAAACCATATAACTAAGAAAAGTTAATAAGTTTCTTCACTAAGTGTAATAGAAAAGCAAAGCAACTATTAAAATCCCTACCATAAATAAAAACATTTCTTACTTATACGTCAAATTTATAAAGTTGTACAAAAGGTAAAAGTACAACAATAACTTATACGTGTAAACAACAGCTAACTTGAGCGAAAGCCTTGTGCAAATAAAAACAAACGTCAAATAAAATATTGAGTTTGTTTCTATATTTTTATTTTATAAAGCTTAAAAATAAATGGAAGAGAATACACTCTTACACGCGCCCCGGCAAACCTATATTTTTACTATTCTTCGGCGAGTAGTGGAAACTCAATGCAACGGAAGATCTACACACCGAGCAACACGAAAAAAAAGAATAGAAGAAAAGGAAAACCAAACACAAAACAGAAATATATACAAAAAAATTGGCGCACAGCAATGAAATGAAAACTTTATCACAACAAACAATATAAACTAAATAAATAAATACAAACAGTCGCCGACTTGATTCCGGAAGGAAAACATCTACTAAACTTTAGTAGAGTTAAGCCTGAGAAGTAAGTCGTAGCCAATTATGCAAAATTTCCCACAGCAGTTAAATAAATATTGATTGTAACGCATTGAAATTGTGAGAGAGAAGAGAATCTTACAAAAGTTGCTGCGAAACAATCAAGCGGCATAACTGAGGACATTCTAAACTTTCTTCTGTTTCGTCGAAGTTTCCTACAGCATTGTGAAACACATACATAAATATTGCATAAGATGATATTGCTTCATTCCAATAATAAATAATTCATAGTTTTACTCTCTGTTCCTTTCCTTTGATCGCGAACGAGATGATCTCAAAATAATTGTACAGATGATATTTTTACTTTTGATATTTCTCCTAAATTTTTGAACAAACAACCAAACCGATTAAGACAATAACGTGTTGCCCCTTTTTTTTAAATAAACCCCATACTGAGCTTAATAACGCTAATTGCTGTGGTAATTTGAAAATCTCTTCATAGAAGGATTTAAAAATTATAAAAAATACTAATGACTTTCATGTCAACAAACAATGAACATTAAAGTAATAACTTCTCTTGTACATGTTTCGATATTTTGTTAATTTTGTTTTGTATTATGACCAATGATTTGAAGATATCTTCTATTCATGTAACACGGTGGGGGTCAGAAAGAAGAAAAGCGCGTTACGTTAGCGCGTGCCCCATGGATAAGTGTTGTGCCCTTACCGACTGAAAACTCACTGTAGCTGCGACCAATCCAAAGCACATGAGATTTGAGCCCGTGAAAACTAACTTAGCTACTCGTCGACTCAGGCGCATTAAAGTTAAGTCTTGCTTGGAAAACGTACGGACGAATACAATGCGTAACACGTGTTCATCTGCATAACTTCACATTCGATTTCTTCTGATGTACGTGAGTCTCAACAACGTTTTTCCGTCCTTGTATACCTTACATACTGTCCCACGTAGGATCTTACAAATATGAATTTGTATTTTAAAAATTTTAATAGACTTTTCAACACTACACCATACTGCTGGGAAAATTATGAGTTTATAGAGTTTTTGAAAATTTATTTTCAAGATACTGTTTTCTGAAGCCTAATTAATAAGAGGGGGTTATATTATTCGTATCCCATTCTTGAAATTCTGTGGGGACAAAACGAAAAGTGGTGACTGTAGTATTTAAAATTTAGGGATTCTTTCAAGGAGGGAGTACTCAAAAGCTTTCTTTTATCCACTTTCAATGGACGCTCTGCCTTTTGTGCCAATAAATCTGATCACCTCAACATATACATTAATAATCCAAAAGTTTTTTAGCTTTTTAAGTTTTTATTGTTTTCGACATGAAAACACATTTAAAAAAACAATATTTAAACGTGCACTAGTACGGAAATAGTTGTATGTATGTAGAATTTACGAAAAACAAAATAACATTTAGGTTTGCATAAGTGTAACATACATACCTGCATAGTCTCGCACTTATACTTATGTTCATGCACATAAAAGAAACAAGAGATATTGTAATTTTAATGCAAGTTTTTTAAAATAAAAACACTAACATACATATTTGTATATAACAATTAGGTTAAATAGGTTGATAAGAAAGTACAATATGCAAACAATATGCTTAAAACACGTGCTTAGGCTACAATTAAAAAAAAAAAAACCAAAAAATGTTACTTCGAGTGCAATGAAAGTAAGAAAACTCTATGCTCGCGACTTAAAGATTTTTGTTGCGAGATTGAGTTTTTTGCTGCGAAATTTCGATTTACTCGAAATTTATCGAAAAAATAACCCAACAGCCTTGCACGAGATGAATGGGGGTAGAGGACTCAAGTAGAATTCGCTTAGGGAAAGTTTTTTTCTTTAACCTCTTTACGATGCCTTTTCCATTGGTTTATTGAACGCTTCTATGTCCGAGACACGATTGTGTACAAATTTCATTTTATCTCCGACGCATCATATCAACATCCCCTTTGCCATTAAGTCGAAAAGTAGATATCCAATATGTATATAAATATATATGTCAATTACAATCCTTTTGTTGTTGTAATTTGTAATTTCTCAGGTTTGCTGGTTTTTAACATATCACGAAAGACAGACTACCCAAGCAAACGCAAGGATGGACGTGTATGAACACAAAACCGTCAATTGGTTGAAAACGTGAAGCGGCGGCGAACGCTAAGCAGACGGTAAAAATGTTCTATGCCGGATGTAAGAATATGTGCAAAAAGCAAAAAAATGTTGCTTTCATTTCGTGAAAAATCAAAACCAAAAACACTGTTTAGTTTTCTCCAACACTTGAAAGCCACTGGAACAGTGGTTGCCAGAACAATGTAGCGAAATAATTCAGACGAGTTTTTAGGGAACAGAGTGGTGTAGTACAAATAGTGGGCCAACAGCATTTCTTAATACCCACGAATCGCGCCATAGTTAAACTATGCATCTTCGTGTCCCCACTAGGTTAACGTTAAGTGGCTACACTAATCTTTTTATTTAATCGGCAGATTTATATCGCATTTTGAAACTATTTTGCATGTCAAAGACGTTGATCGCATCAAAGCTGATGTGTGAATGTACTGTTTGTTAAGATATGCCCTACAAAATACTTTAAAAAAAGTCATTTATGTGAATTCACTCTTGGAAGTTGTTTAAAAAATTCATATTAAAGAAACAAAGGAGAATCTAACATCAAGACCATAAATGAAGAGATGCGAAGTTGAAAGTGTACATATAAAAGTCCCAAAAGGAAGGAGCCCCTTTGCACAGGAATAAAGCGATGTTTTTTGTAAACTGTATTCCTTACTTCACTTTCGAACGTGCAATAAAATGGACTGAACAACACGAATCATCCTATACTTGCCTACTCTTTAAATAATAGTAAACAAAATTTTCATATATTCTCCTCAGAATGTATAGATTTTTTTCGAATTCATATTTCAGTAGGGGACTGCAAAAAAGACTCCCTTCACTTCTCTAACTCATTGTTAAAATAATTATTTTCTTGACTGACTTTGGCCAAATTTTAGAAAATATATTATACTAGAGAACAATATAAATTATGATTGATTATTTTAATAATTAATTATTTAATGCATATGAACGGTTGCTTACAAATCGTTATTATTTTTAACTTATTTTACTTGAAATAAAGTTTCAAAAGCTTGAAGAAACCTAGTGTTTACTTCAAGGCGAATTATAATTAGTACTGACTAAAAGGAGTCCGTCGCACGAATAAGGCGATACGATTGACTGAGACAGCTGATGTAGGTAGGAAATATTTTGGTTTTTTTTTTTTTAATTTAGTTCCGAGGCATTTGATGAAGAATCCTTTGTTTTTACTGGTGATCGTGAAAGAGCAATTTCACAAAGTTTCATTCATTCTTTGACAATCGAAATACAAGCAAACAATAGCATATGTTTACACAATTGTTATAGTGTTATAGATAGAGTAAGGAAATCTGTTAATGATAAAAATAAGTCAGAATTAGGTTTTGTTAATAAACAAAGTTATTGCGCAATAGGACGTTAATATGTTAAAGTTTAACTGACAGAGATTTTATAAAATATCTTATATGTGCGCGCACGCACATATAAACAAATTAGAAAATATTTAAACAAATGAACCTGAAACCAAATCTCACCGTTTGTTGTTATCTGATACCGCGTCGAAAACAAAAAATTCATCTCAGAAATGTATACATTTATCAATGTTGTTTTATTTTAAAACTTAACAGAAATTATTCTAAAAAAAAAAAAAGGAAAAGAAAGAATGTAGCATGAAAGTCTACAAGGTTTTCTGCTGTCATTTTAGAAATTGATGGAAATCTTATACCGTTTATGTTAATAAGCATATACTTGTAGTCAAAACAAACAATAGTTCATGAAATTGTAAAATGAATATAAAACAGTTATTATATGTTTATAAATATGTTGTTAGTGTGAAAATCAGTTTGTATACATTCATCCTTAGTACACTCATTGCATGAATTTATCCAGTTATATAAAGTAGTGTTATCTTATGAATACGCTTATGCACATATATATTTGTGCATATAGATTTACGCCTATTTATTGTATACATATATCTGTATGAAAATAAAGCAAAATAAAAAAAAATCGGTATATAAATTATTTTTAAGAAATCACTTGTTTCTATCGTTTGAATGAACTTGTTTTTACACTATTGACTGGACTGACTGAAAAGCTAAACAAACACAGTTCTGTTAAGTTAGTTGGCGTTTCTCTGCCACAATTTCAGTATTAATTACGAAGTGTAGTGGTTCTGGTAAGTCTCGCGAAAGCGCTTTTGTATTAGCTGATAGGCGTTATAGACCCTGAAATTTAAAGAAAAACAAAAAAAAAAAAAAATAACATGATTAATCAATATTTTAAAGTCTTATATATCAATAAAGGGTCTCAGGGTATCAGGCAGTCTAAAATTGATGTAAACTTGGGCGGAAAACTTTAGTTTCTTTTCAGTTTTTCCGATCTGTATCTGGGTTACTTTTTAACTTCCAATCCACATTTTTTCGATTTTCTCCATAACAAGCCTATGATCTTCATTAAATCGGATATTTATATTTATAATCTCAAACAATTAATTCAAGGTATTACAATGAAAGAAAATCTTCTCGTAGATCGTCATGACATTTTAGATTTCCAACTACATTGGCTGAAGTTAAGCAACGAAAATTCTAATTTTATTTTTCTCGCTAAAGATTAGCAAATAAATAAATTTATTTTTACATCTTACGCTTAACTGCTAAAATGCTTTCAAGGAAAGTCATTGCTATTCTCAAAGTTCACGGAAATAACATTGTTTATAGAAAACAAACACGAATAAGTTATTGACTATTACTAACTTTGGTTTTTAAATAGAAACTAAATTTCTAATGACATTAATACATAAATAGTTTAATGGGTAAGAAGGTATCATTTTATAGAGTAAAACGTTAATTGCATCAATATGCGAACATTGATGAGAGCACGTGACCTAAGAAACGTGATCGATGCTCCGAATCATGTGCTATGTCTTTTAAATATCATCAAATCTCTAGTTATGTATATGAAACGGTAGCAAAATGCTGTAATTATTTGAAAACCGTGACTTGTTCTAAATACCTAATAAAGCAGTGAATTCTAGGGGACAAGAGAACTGAAAGCTCAAGAGATTTTTACACCGTTCTGCCCGTATTAACTTACTTTTCTTTCGCCGCTTTAAAGGACTTTTTTCTTGTCTTTTTGCAGGTAGTATCTTGTACATCAGCAGGCAGTGGCAAATCGTAGGGGGATATCAATGTTAAATTATCTAAAAATTTGTTTTTAATAAGTATATAATTATCGACCCAAATTATTACTTTTTAGTATTTGAGGATGAGTTGACTTGTGAACTGTTTTGTTAAATTTAATGAACGATCAATGAATAATAGGATTGAAAACGTTTAACGTAATGATGGGAATAAATGAACTTTATGAGAATGCGTGATTGGAAATAAAAAAAATGATAATTATCATAAGGATGCCGAGTGTGGGAGCTACTCTTTTCCTATGTTATTGTAAATTTACCTGGATGGCAAAAGAACGCTATAGAATGTCGACCTCGGGTTCTTAGATGTTCTTGTTCCGGTATTACCACTCGATGTGGCTAAAATATTAAAACAAATAAATTTTTTTCCTTCTACATAATTCGTCAACTACCGCTTACCAACGCAAGGTATCTAGCTTGTGTCCATATTGTTAATATTTCACCGCAATTAACAAGTATTGCGCCGGGTAAGTGTCCGAGTCTTTGCCATTTTTCAGTTCCAGTTAGTTTTACTTCTAGACCGCCTTCTGAATCCTGAGCTAACAGAGTGAAAGTACCGTAATCGGTGTGAGCACCGCAACGTATCATCTCACCATTTGGCAGACGACGTTCTGTGGTTTGGTTTAATTCGTCAATTCGGTTGCTGTCACCGTCTATTTCATTGAAGTCATCGCGCGGATTGTATTCAGGGCGAAAGTCCGGTAGATTTGTAACGCAACGTTGATAACTGTATTTGCAATGACCTTTAATGAATTCGTTTTTACCATTTTCATCTTCCTCTATTACTGGCGGGTAGTATAATAAACGCAGAGTGGTTTCGTTATCATGATCGCCGGATAACATATGTGAGTGTCTTTCCAGAAAAAATGTCTGTGGTATGTCGAATGATATCGCCAGAGCTTGCAAAAGAAAACGAGCTAAAGATTTAAAATCTTCGGCTAATGTCGATATATGATCAGCAAATCCTGGTAAAGGTTCTTCGGGCAGATCTTTGGCGTTTAGCGTACAAATATTGAAAGCGTGTCTAAGTTCGGGGATCTTTCCATCGAAACATTCCAAGCCGGGACTCACGTAACCATGATTATCCTCACCAGTACGTATGTAGTGTTCTTTAACATCTGTGGGTAAATCGACAAAATCATCCAAATGATCCCAAGCGGTTTTCAACTAATTAATCAAGTAATAGGAAAACAATCGTGACATTCTTCGAAACTTATTGCATCATTATTTGGTTAAGTACATCATAACCAAACTGACCAAACGCTAACCTTTTCATCGGCAATTCCATGATTTACCAGTAAAGCCAAACCCTTTTCAGAGAGAGCTTTGTGCAATTGTTGCCCCACTCGGTTGACCACAGATCGCACGGGGCATTCTTCAGTGCCTATAATGTATAATAATATAACGGGAAATGAAGTACGATTAACTTTGGGGGAAAAAAAAGATAAAATTTCTTAAACGTAGGCAACATTAAATGCGTCCATTGCCCATTACCCTAACTAAGAATTAAGATTTGTGAAATATTAACTTTATCTTATTTTTATTCCGATCATACTCCGATTGTTACCGGTTTTAATCATATGTGTTTAAAATTAAGAATATGAAAAGTTAATTTATCATGTGATATACTTTACTGTAATTTATCTTTAATTATAAGCGTACACACATTTTTTCTCAAAAAACTCTCCACCACATATGAATGGAAAAACGAAAAAAAATTAATCTAAAAAATGTTTATCTTCATTCGCCGCCATATCACACAGCTGTGATGGCTGATCTTGACTACAAAATAATATTTCTATGTCGACAACGAAAATGCTCGTATGTAATTACGTGTTACAACGTGTGTTGTATATGTTATTATGGTTGTTTGTTATCATGATTCTCGTTATGTGTTTATTATATCTTCCTTTTGACTGTTTTATACATTTTGTATTTATATCTAGAAATAGAAGCCAACTAACTAAACGAGTTGAGTGTTATCGTGTCAGTGTCAGTATGTATTTAATACTTTTGGTTGTTTTGGTTGTTATGCTAGTATGTAGTCTTTGTTTTTACTATTATTGTTGTTATTGCAATGACTCTTCGATTAACTTACGTTGAGTTGAATTCGCTTGCTCTGTATGTTGTTCTTGTTGTTGTTTATCTTTTTTTTTTTCTTTTTTTTTTTTTTTTAATTTTTACTTTACATATTTAAACACAAGGTACTTTACTGGCAGCTATAAGCAAAATAATATCGTTACTAATTAAAATAATAATCAATTATTTATTCAGCACTTCCATTTAAATTATGAGTCATTAAATTTGAAAATATCTATGAAGGAATTAGCGTATTTACAAACCGCATAAGAAAGCTACATTTACCTTGGACGGAATTTCATTCTGGAATCCATTTGACACTCGATCGGACCTAATCAATAGGGGTATTATATTCGTTTTTTATATATAGTCCAATTGCAAAATGCAACAGTTGCTTCATATATGAATATTGAGTCAGATTCCATATACCGGCATTTAATGCCGAGCGCCAGTTTTTAGCAACTTTACTTATGTGCTTATTTTTTCCATTAGCCCTTCAGTTTTTCATCTATTGCCTTGACTCTGCTTGATTGCTTGTCATTATTTGTATTAAAAATGCAGACAAAGAAAAAACACACAGAGCTGAAACGATTCCGATTCTCACCCTAATCAAACGCAGCTAATGTGTTTATATATGCTTCAAGGCCTCTGGAAATGTGATTTGAACGGTTTGTGCTACGTTAAAAACTAAATGATATAAGTAATGATAATTAAGTTAAACCTCCTCAAATGGTCTTGCACTCAGAAACTAATAAATAAAAAAGAGTTGAGATGAAAGAGGTCGTAGCACTACGAATGTCGACTTTTTTTGACTTCTTATATACTAGTAAAGTATTAATGTATTCCTAATAAAGTGTATACGTGGACATATGGATTCGAGTACGAACAAGCAAATGGTAATTTCACAGTGAACTCTTCTCGAGTTGCACTTGGTCATACGCATGTTTAGACAACGTATGACCAATATATGAGCATTGCGATCCTGTTGCAAGGCATATGAAAGGAAAACGGTGGCAAAATGAAGCATTCAAAAGTTGATTGGAAAGTGGAAACAAGTGTGTGCACAGATAAAGAATCAATGGCATCCCCTTACTTCCATTTCGGGGGCATGCAAGTGTGTGCAAGTATTTCTTCTTTCTTTGTTATTCTGAATAAGGCAAAGTAATTAAAGCACTAATAAGAAAAAGCCGCTAGGCTTTAAATAAGATCGTGTCAGTATTTAGTATAGTATGACGATCATATCGTTCATATCAGGCGTGGGAGGCAGATTTAGGGTAGTCCCCGCTTAACTCGTTCGCGATATACCGAGCTTGCTACCCTTGAGAAAGACTACATTTACTACATTTACATTTTTTCTTTTTACTTAGGCTTGAAAAGTAAGGATGAAATACCATGGAAGGCTCGGCTCAAGTATTTTTCCTACTAATTGCAGTTGACTAAAATTTTAATTATCAATTTCCTAGTAAGTTGTTCTAGCCTTAGAAAAGTGCCCGTCATCTATCTCATTTATGAGATTTATTTAACTCGCTCACACGTTACAGATAAACGTCAATGGCTCCGCTCAAAACAATGGCGCGATGTTGTAACGTGTTATTAATATTTTTATGAATGAATGTATAAATTATTGTTTATTCAATACATTGATAATCTTATGTTATCTGTGTACGACAGTGCAATCCAATTCGAGTATCTATGCCTGTAGGTTGTTTAAATGAGAAAACACATATCCGCATATCGTATGCAAGTGTGCCATCGCTCTCCACACTTGACAAAGCTAAATACGAAAACAAGGTGGGGAGATTTTCAAGTTAATGATTAAATTCCTATTTAAAAGTTATTTTCAAAATCAATACAATAGGTATTTCGAAATGACAGCTATTGAAATTTATTAACAGCTAAAATGTGGTTTCATTTATGTGGTTTTTTTCAAGTATTTCTTTGAATTGCTTTTCAGGTTTTCCTCGTGCAATTTATTTAACTTGATAAGAAAAATAAAGTTTTTTAATTATCTTCTGTCCGTAAAAGAAAGTAGGTGTTATTTTTTGAAAAGATATCGTGAGTCGAAATTTCTGCACTCTATCCATAGAAAATGTTTCTCTTTTATATTTTTTGCCTTTCGTGATATGAACCCGAACCAAACACGACGAGCTGCTGCAGCAGTCTGTGGGTATCGGTTTTTGGCCTTAGCACTAACGCTCTATTAAGTAGGAGTTTTGTGAAAAGAAAATAAACCTGTCCCGACATTATTTCCATAAAACTTATAGGAGATGTCGTAGTTGAGACTTCTCACAGACAGTGTTGTTGTACTGTACATCCCGCTATTCTTCCATTTTTCTTTATCTTTAAATATTTGTCCTTTTAAAGTGTTTGACATGCTTAGGCATGTTCGTATACAAAGTTTCAAAATCAAATCGATCAATAGCTCTTTTAGTAAAGCTCACGAAAGATCTTATGATTATTATACTAATTGGTGCACACAGTTTGCGGACTCCATTCATTGAAGAATGGAAACCGTACCGTTTAATAAGTCATTAGTCGCTTATGAACTAATTTCAGGGTATAGTTGAAATATAATCAATAGGCCATGAATGCGAGCGTACTGGTGAACACATGTTATAACCAAAGACGTAAAGTTATAATATTATGATTAATTTATGAGCATAAATAAATTCAATTTTAAAAAAGAGTTTAATTGCAATGCAAACAAAACAAAAAAAGAGCAAAGAAAAAGAAGTTCATAAAACCGATATAAATAACAATGTAATATAATAGAAAAGCAATAACGGCAATCATAAAGCCAGAGACAGGGAGAGAGAGAATTTAGCCTATAATATTTTAATTTTTTTTTAAATTATGGATAGATTTTATTTTCCCCCCTTTGAGCCCCTGCAGCAGTTAACAGCGAATACCGTACGTTTCGATACAAAATAAACTTTTTTTAATTTGCTCATGGCCACGAATCGAATTCGGTCAACTTATGTTATATAAGTAGTATACCCAATTGTTACATAATTATTACTCACGAAATTGATCTATAATATATAAAAACACCGGAAACATCAACGGTATAAGTTTTAAAATGTATTTCTAATTCAATCCCGAGAATTATTTACGTATATGTTGCATACATCTTTTAAGTTCCTTAAGTTGATAAAATTTCAGAAAGCAACGGGTAAGATGTGAAAGAATCAAGGAATTTTAATTGCAAGCTTACGATCACGACTTCAATCGCTGCTACTTCGTTCGTAGAGTCATTGCCTATCATAAAAGCTTCACGTGCCGTTGCAATCGATTATCATTTGATAAAAACACAACAGAAATAAATAAATCAGAAAAACGGGACGGAAAACATTAAATTATTGCCTCTGACCGATACATGAGAATTACAAAAATCGCACATGATCTTAACATCCATGAGTATCACGATATTTTATCATGAATACTTTCGTTTACTTCGAGAGACTCGCTGTAGCAAGCAGGAGTCTTGCAGGCTATAGAAACCAGGTATTAATTGTTCATAAAGCCTTTTCTGGTCATCCCACCCCAATATATTTATGGCAAATCTTCAATTCATCCCCCATTTAAGTTGATGCATAAAAATTATAAAGCATTTTCTTCGTTATGGATGTAGGCAATGAACCAATTTCTGGGCTTGGACATGAAAGCTCTGTAAGTAAAACGCTATTGCAAATCAAACTTTTCCGCAACTCAAGTTCGAACTGGTAACTAATTTCCAGTTCTCAGTTACTAATGTATAAATTATATATGCATTATGGTGTCTCTAGCAGTTGTTTTTGCCTTAATTTTCAGATGATGACTGCAAAAACTCGAAGTTAGTAAAAGTTTTATTTTTGAATAGCTTGCTTTGCTTCTAAACCCCATTAAAGCCCATACTAAAAAAAAACAAAAGAAAAATTAAAAAACAATTATTATTTACCGCAATTGCACTGAACAATACCGACATATAATAATGTAGTATAATAAACACGGGGATATGAACTGCATAAAAGAGTATAATGTTCAATAGAGCGCGCACTGTTCAATTGATTTTTGTTTAGCAACAAAATTAACGTATGTCGTTGTGTGGCAATTTTGTTGATTTGCTTGCGACGAAAGAATAGCTATGACATTAAAACGATTTAGAAATGTTTTTTCACTATACGCTCGTATTTTTTCTATTGAATTTGGGGGAGAACGGCAACTAAATTAAAGTTATCAGCAAATAAATTCTTTTTATTCGGGATTCCAAAAAATGTTGGGCTGGGTTGTGCATCCTATTCCTACTCGAAGTACCCGCTTCGTTCGAATATTTTTTTCAGAGCAAAACTCACAAATTTTTGTTAAGAAAAACGGTGTTGTGTTCAGTTTATACTCTGCAAGCTTCGGCTCTAACCAATTTAGTCTGTTTTCAATGCTAACCCGCGTGCAAGGCCTTCCAATGTTTCTATCAAATTTGAAGTCGATATCTTCATTTATGCGACCAGGAGAGTGCCAACAACAAGCACCGCACAGACGGACGGACATGGCTAAATCAATTCAGGATTTCACACTGATCAAGGAAATATACGTTTTATAGGATTTCTGAACCTTCTATTTGGGTGTTACATACATTATGAAAAAATAGTGAATGAGTATCCGGCCATCTTACAGTGGTGGGTATAAAAATGACTTCATCTACATGTCTACTAATGGACTAATGGTAGAGGATTTAAAAATATTGACTTTTTTGTGATTGACAAGTCTTTAGACGTAAGGGGGCTATTTTTGAAAAGAAGAGAATCATTTGTCATTAAGCAATGTTTAAATAATATATCGAAGATACCCTACGCGCTTTGACTTCAAGATATTGTTAATAATTCGCATAAAAAGCGAAAATTTGTGGAGTTTACGCTCTTTGTCGCTTTGAGGAATCGTCGTTCGAGAAAAGCGTATTGAAAATTTTGAAAAACATCGTAGATATGGTTAGCCTACAATACCGGAGTAATGTAGCTGGCCTTCCATATACTCAAAGCCTTTCCCATTCTCTTTTCTTGAAGATTTTATGCTAGAGCACGACGTTTTTTTTATAATTTTATAATTCTATAACCGAGTTAACAGTTAAGAGTAGAGAGTAGTAGCATCTCAAACATTTAATTTCTTGTCCAAAGCAATGAAACCCTTCGAGTCGTTCTCAGCCTCATATCCATCTAAATAACTAAACGTATTTGTCTTTGAGAATGCTTTTAAATATGTATAAACATTTTGTAAACACATCTGTTAGTTTATTAGAGAAATTAGCAATCGAGAGATAGGACATGCGGTTGTATCTTCTCGAGAGCAATTCATTTGCGGTAATCTTTTTAGCGTATTTGGTGAAGAGTTTTTTACACACAAAAATTAATTTCCACACACATGTAAATTTCGTCAAATGCATGATTTTGTTATTGCTATTATTAAAATACGTCCAGCCAATCTCATTAAAACTGATTAGTTTTCTCCATTTTCATCTACAGTGTCGTTAGGTACATAATAATTAACTGAGATTTGAAATACAAATAATAAGAATATTAAAAAATATAAATAGGCTTTCTATTCTTCTTTCTCTACGGTAGCCTTGATAATCCGTTTGGTATGATTTCCAAATGCTGTTCGCTCGTCTTCATATTTTTAAACATTAATACACTTTTTCTCACTCAAATTACTGATAAGTAATGAAAACTCTCTCAACTACGCTACATATATGGTGTGTTATACTTTGGGATCATTTGTTTCGAATCGGATGAAAATAATTTGTTATATCTTGATTTTAATAAAGCATATAATAAAATTGTACATAATGAGTTTATCTATCTATATTCTTAGTTTAATTAGTTTTGCTTCCTTTTTTTATTATATTTATATAAATTGTGAACTTACCACAATGAGCCAGATCGATGATGGGTACTAGACTTTTTGTCAAGAGAGTATCGGCTTTCTCGTCATTTGTTTTTGTTTTTAGCATTTTAATGTGTTTTTCGGTTAATCCGCACCTTTTTTAATTTTATCGACTTATAATTTATATATTTAAAATTATAATTTTTTACTTTTTAATTTTAAAATAATGTTCTTTTTTTGGCAAAGCAAAAGCAAAAATTAATTATAGTAATATTTTTTAAATTTGTTTACAAGTTCCGTGGCCTGTTTTTTACACAAAATTTATTTTTAATTAACAATGTGTGACGCAAGTTTATTTTTACATTGCTCTTAGCATTTCACTAAGTAATTTTTTTTTGTTTTTCATTTAAAAATCTCAGTCAAGTCGTCGTAAAAATTATTCACAACTTCTATAAAAGCTCTCTGAATCTTACTAACTAAGCAGCTCATTTGAACAGAGAATTTAAACATATAGTTACAATCAAGTAAACAAGTAAGAGTATGCGTCCCACTTTTTGATGAAATAAAGTTTTATGAAGTATGAACAAGGGACTACAGCCAGGAATAATGCGGACAAGTCTCGTCAATACGATTTGATAATGGGAGTAAATAAAATGTTACGACCGTCTTTGGCGGGGCCATCATACCAACAAAAAAGAAGAAAAAGAATTTAATTCTCCAAACAGTATAACACATAATCGTTAGCATGCAGCATAACTACGCAATTTACTCATATAAATATTGTAATGTAGTTTGGCCCACAAAACGAACTGTCAAATCCAATAAGACTGCCACATTGTAAAATTGTGACAACAAGTTGCGCGTGGAACACAATATAAGAGCGTCCGTAACTTGGACGTAAGTAAAAGATATTTACAAGACAAGTTTAAGCAAGATACCGCCATGTGCGCTTTGTTACTGCTCGTAGTAAACGCACTGAAAAGATTGTGTTACACAAAATAGGAAAGAAAAAAGAAAAACTTTCATATCTTTTGTATGAAAAATATCTGCTTCCTATGAAGGGTATTTACTATTCGTTCTTCTAGATTTGTTTGGTTTTCGTCTTATCAGGAACCTTACATGATTTTTTACTAATATTTACCGTTTTGCTGCTGAGTCATAATACGGACGGTTCTTTTTCGAAATACGTCCTCCACGTTTCAATTTAATAATGCTGAAATATGTGCACATATGTGTAAATTAACGCTTGATGTTGTTGAATCGAGAAGTTATCTTTGAGAATTTACTAAAGCCGCCAATAAACTCGTCAGAACTTCAATATATTCCTTTCCTACAACGTAATGTTAAGAGCGTTACGTACGTACGTTAGTCTTTGCAAAGCCAATAGTCATGAATTTTTTGCAACAACTTTGTGCATCTTAAGAAGATTGATACCTAGATCTGTTTTCTTTCTGATAACAAGAAGAAGGTAAGAAAGCAAAAGCACTCAATAACACTGGCAAGTAGGTTGTTTTCGAGGGATTGGTACCTTTGTAATCTAAAAGGTAATAGAAAGATTTTTATCGACATAATTTGTATTTACAAGAGAGTAAGTAAATGAAATGAGAGCGCAAAGTAAATTCGACTACCGGGAGAGTCAACTAACTCTTCAAAAGCCAGAACGATCTATTCAAACGTATTAGTTTTCACTATTTGTTTTTTCACAGATAAAAGATGCTGTGAAGGAATATATGCAACAACATCATTAACAACAATTTTCAAGTTTCACATTATAATTAGAGCATGCATTACTCATGCCGAATTGTTTGCCAAAGAATAACTAAGAAGCGCCAAAAGTAAGTTGGCAACAATTACTTCAAAGGAATTATTAAGAGGCCACACACACTACACTCTATCCCGTTATTTCTAAAATAGGTCAATCAAAAAAGTTACACATTTTCTTTTAAGAGAATACGTGGCATTTAAATGCATAACTATTGTAAAAAACAAAAAAAAATGGTTTTCGCACTGCAGTAATATATATAAGAGAAACTTTCCGCTTGCTTACAGGTGATTTATGCAGCTAAAGATTTTATTTTAAAAGCACAACAACAATACTTCGCAACAGTAAAAATTTTTTATGTAAAATAAAATTAACAAAAACAATTTAAGTAAAACAACTGATATCAGAAGTTAACGAATTAGCTACGTACAACACACAGAACATTTTTACTGACACTAAATGAGACGATCGCTTCTGTTTATAACAGAGCTAAAATTTTACTAACTCATACAGCGTTGTAAAAATGCCGTAGCAATACGAAATGTTTAATCTTATCAACATAGCACGAACAAATGAAAACGAAACGAATAATGATATAAGTCGCTTGTAAATAAGCCTGTTGTACTAAACGCAAATCCCTCGTCCCTAGTTACCTGCGAAAATTTTTGAGAGTAACGCCCTTTTGTGAAAATTTTGAGAGGTACCGAGTTTTGAATGTATCCGTTTGAAACCAAACTGATATCTGCTCAACAGATATTTCAATGCACTATATTCGTTTCTTAAGTTAATTTTACATTTTTAACTTAATCTGATAACTGACATTCTTCAAAAGCTAAGTAATGGTTGAATTATCAGGAGATGTAAGGAAGTGAAAAATGTAATTGACGTATTTATTCAATTCCCAGTTTATTACACGCTCTATTAAACAAATTTTGGTGTAAAACACACCAAAAAAAATTTGTTTTTTTCAATAGAAGAATTTATCGGTCCGTCCGGAATAGTGCATCGCATTTATATTTAAAGTGTCTAGTGCATAAAAGGATTCTAAAAGGCTGCTAAATGCTGCAATGTAAATATTTACTTTTAACCCTTGGCAGCTCTAACGCTCATTCAATCACATGACAGCACGTGAGTGAGTGAGTGACATATCATTTTCTATTTTGTCAGTTGAAATAAGATTTCTCTCAGTGCATCACGGACATTCATTCATTAAAAAAATAAATTTGATCGATTGGAAAAAGTATACAAATTGTAGTAAAAGACAAAAGACAAATCAAGAGTGCCCACAATCTTAATAATTCGTTCCACAAATTTTGTCATAATAAACAAGAACTTCGTGCGAACCATTGAAAATAAGGTTACAAATTCTTTTCTCCAATAAGTGGTGTGTGTGTGTGTGCCTGCCTATCAGATATAAAACTTGAAAGCTCCTAAAGGGAGAAAAGTTGAAAAATGAATCCAGCCAGTAAAGAACATGTCCTTGCTGTGACAAGAGATTTCATATCCCAGCCAAGATTAAGTAAGTATATAAGTACAAGACAGAAAAAGATGACCGTCGTTAAAGAAAAATTCTAAATTATAGTCGCCATGTTTGTTTTCCTGCGAAAAAAGCTCAAAAATGTCGAAAGAAAAAGAAATGGAAAAATATTTTGTTTTTAGATGGACAAATTTCTGCCAAAATCCGTTTGTGATATGGAGTAAGCATGGACTATATTGAAAGGGAAAACTTCCACTTTATTTTATCTTTATTAGTCTTTGCATAACAATATTGATTTTCATGCATATTGAGCATAAACTATGTACAAAGTTACACCGCTGTCTTTATATTATTCTTTTCAGTCATGTGATCAACTTTAGAGTTGCCAAAGAGCTTTAGAGAGAATAGGTAAAAATACATAGATTTAGTATAAGCTTTTAGAAGCTTTTTGATAGTTTAAATTAGTATCAATCCTTACTGTCCGTCATGTCGGCACACGATTTAATTATTTTTTGTGTAAATAATGTTAAATAAAATGCCAGTGTTCCCGTTTTAAAACAATTCTGCATTCGTCATAGAACTCCTACTTTTTAATTCTAAAATCTTTGTCTTGAAACGCTTTTTCTAGCCTATAAAACCGTATCTGGTGTCAACGGCCCTTTGGTAATTTTGGACGAAGTAAAATTTCCAAAATTTGCCGAAATTGTCCAATTGCGTTTAGCAGATGGTACTGTTCGCTCGGGACAAGTGTTAGAAGTGAGCGGTTCGAAAGCTGTGGTGCAAGTGTTCGAGGGTACCTCTGGTATTGACGCTAAAAATACTTTATGTGAATTTACGGGCGATATTTTACGTACCCCCGTATCGGAGGATATGTTGGGACGTGTGTTTAATGGTTCTGGTAAACCTATCGATAAAGGTCCACCGATATTGGCTGAGGATTTTCTGGATATCCAGGGCCAGCCGATTAATCCATGGTCTCGGATATATCCCGAGGAAATGATTCAGACAGGTATATCAGCGATTGATGTAATGAATTCAATTGCCCGTGGTCAAAAGATTCCCATATTCTCGGCAGCCGGTTTGCCTCATAATGAAATTGCCGCACAAATTTGTCGTCAAGCCGGTTTGGTTAAGGTAGCTTTGCTTCGACGTGTAATTCTGCATGGATTCAATTTGTTTCTTGATTTTTCTTTTTAAGATTCCTGGCAAAAATGTTTTGGATGATCACGAGGATAATTTCGCCATCGTTTTTGCTGCTATGGGCGTGAATATGGAAACGGCCCGGTTCTTCAAGCAAGACTTTGAAGAGAACGGATCTATGGAAAACGTTTGCTTATTCTTAAATTTGGCTAACGATCCTACAATTGAACGTATTATTACGCCTCGTTTGGCTTTGACTGCAGCAGAATTTTTGGCGTATCAATGTGAAAAGCATGTACTTGTCATTCTTACTGATATGTCTTCATATGCTGAAGCTTTACGTGAAGTGTCGGCGGCTCGTGAAGAAGTGCCTGGTCGTCGTGGCTTCCCCGGTTACATGTATACCGACTTGGCTACAATTTACGAAAGGGCTGGTCGAGTTGAAGGCCGTAATGGCTCAATTACACAAATACCAATTTTGACTATGCCCAACGATGACATTACTCATCCAATTCCCGATTTGACTGGATATATTACTGAGGGTCAAATATATGTCGACCGCCAATTGCATAATAGACAAATTTATCCGCCCGTAAACGTATTACCATCACTATCACGTCTTATGAAATCCGCTATTGGTGAGGGTATGACCCGAAAAGACCATTCAGATGTTTCTAATCAGCTATACGCTTGTTATGCAATCGGCAAAGATGTACAAGCCATGAAGGCGGTCGTTGGCGAGGAGGCTTTGACACCTGATGATCTATTATATTTGGAATTCTTAACTAAATTCGAAAAGAACTTTATTGCTCAGGTAGGCAAACTAAATACCATCAACTTTTGGAATTATCAAGGTTTCCTATTTGCTTTAGGGTAACTATGAGAACCGCACTGTTTTTGATTCTTTGGATATTGGTTGGCAATTGTTGCGTATCTTCCCCAAGGAAATGCTTAAACGTATACCGGCCTCAACATTGGCTGAATTCTACCCTCGAGACGCACGTCATTAGGGTAGTTATATATAGATAACACGCTTTGGATATATAGGAAGAAAATAGAGCAAAGCCTTCTTCCTATGTAAACACAATAACTATATATCTATAGCCATTTATAGACGCAAACAACAATATTATAAATTTTAAGTGTTATTATCGAGCGAAACATATGGGAAAAGTCATTGTTGCATTTGAATTTTTCCTTGAGTTATAAAGTTTCTCGACACGAACTTGTATATAATTCTGACTAGTAAAACAGGAAATATCAAAATGTCTTCATAAATAACTTTCAAAACTTCTGTACTTTTAAACAATCGATTTTGCTTAAGTGCGCTGGTCAAGATTTCATTAATGCGTGTGTGTATGTAGCATTTGCTGCAATAAATGTGCTTAAAGGCACTTTGTGTTTTCTTGTTATTATTAAATTATATTCAAAGTTTATATTCAATAGTTTTTAATGAATATATTCTGTCTAACCTCACGTCTGTTAATTAAAAAGAAATTGTAATCAAAATTTTATTACTTTATTCACATACCAAAATTTCCCATATCTCTCTTTATTTCGTTTATTTTTCCTTGCATCTGATATACATGTATATATCAAAGGCTACACTAAAATTTGAATAAAGATTGCATTCCAAAATGTGAAGAAGTTTAATCGTAAAAAAAATTATTGTTTCCATGTTCCCAAATCATTGTTAACGAGTATTAGCTATGCTTAAAAATTACAGTTACCGGAATTTTTATAATTAAATTTTGTTTTTAATTTCAAGTTTTTATCTACAAAAACCTACAAAACTAGCTTATTATATAAATGTTATCGTAACACAAATAGTTTTTCAGTTCGGTTTTTCTGCCCATTATAATAAAAAATAAATACAAACGTAAACATGTAAAAAGTAATGTATCTTAAAATTAAAAAAAAAAACGAAAATTTCGAGTGATTTCATTTCTGGACTTTGTGGCTTTTAGAAGCGGTGTGTCAAAATGATTGCATAAAAAAGCTTCGTAAGTAATAAAATAATTAATTGTATGGATAAGTTTCCATTTGCATGTAATAGAAAAACCTTCTAAGGGAATACTTTGGAGAAGTCGTTCTCCTCTAGTCGAATTGCTTTGAATTATCAGAGTTTAACAATATCCATCAATATCAAATGTATCCCTATTTTGGACTCACACTGAGTAAGGGCAGCAACATTCCAATACATTTTCATTTATTGATTGCTAAAACTAATTTAGGGCTTTTAACAAACATAAAAAATGAATTTTGGTAATCTAAGATTCACGTACTGAGAATATTTATTTTCACGACGATATTCTTTTATGTAGTGAATCCTTAGAACACATACAAAACGAATTTGGAGACATTCATGCATACTTTTAAGGATTAGATGGTAAGTAGGACTTGAAACTTCTCAAAAGCAGAAAAAAATCTTCAAGGGCTCATTGTATGAGAAGGTTTGAACGTGTGCTACACATAATTTAGCACCATTTTTCTAGCCCTGTCTAATTATGTTATTTTGGACGTCAAAGCTTTATACCTTTTATATAATCTAACAATGTTGAAAAATTTTCTTTGTATATTGCTTCCTTTGAAAGTAATGGTTTTGCTTGTAAAGAAAATGAAGTGAATTATCTTAGTAAATAATTGCCGATGGTAATCATATTCACAAATTTGGAGTAATTAAGCAATTCCGGCACTATTTTTCCAAACGCTCGAAGTACGTAGCATGGAGTACTTTGGACAGAAATATATTAGCAACTGCAGCTTTCTTTTACTTTTAGAAAACAATCGAAAACAGATGGAAATGAAATATTTGATCAAACGATGAAATTCTCTTTTTTTACGCTGTGAGTAATTATCAAAAAAATGGAAAAAGATCAAAAATATACAAATAAATATGCAAATGAAATAAATTGAGATAATCATTTATCATTTCGATCAATTAGCCATTTCCATTTAACAGAATGGTCGGAAATGTTTGCATGTAACAGAATGGTGGGAAATATTTATTGAAAGCAACTCTCTCTGTTCTCTCCATTTCCAACAACGGGGATTTTTTTTTATAAACGATGTAAAGGAAAAAACCAGCTAACGGCATCATCACTGCTATTTCAAAATCGCTCAATAAAACAAAGCCGATCGGTGCCCAATCGAGTTCACATCTGCTTTTATGGCGCATATTATATGGAGATATACAAACTCACGCAATAGATTTGATAGGGGACTTGCGTCTATTATTAAAAGTTCTACATTCTTCATTTATTCATAAAATATATATATACGAAAGTTGCAATATGTCTATTTTTTTATTATTTCACACAGTTTAACAGCGTCCCCATTAGAATTAAAGGGGACGATTAATGGTCCTCTTTGGGCGAGCAATATAACCAATGAGAAGAATAAATACATGCCAACTTCACTTTAATATTTCTCAACATTGAAATTTAATGGCGTAAATTATTTAGAAAAAAAGGATTATTTTAGCATTTTGTTTATCTATGATGACATTTTTAACATTGCTGGGATGCAACGTTTTAACACAGTAGAGTGAACTCTGATGCATAGAGTACTTTGTAAGGATACGTCTAATGGTTTATAAGTACATAAATGAAAAATATATGTACATACAGCTCTGCAGTGCATTGAGCATTGAATTTGACATGTTAACCGTTATGTCTTCTAGAAAAACATCGAGGCAGAAAAATAGTTTGCTTGCTTAACACGAGCTTCAGCTCGTTTGTTCATAATCTGCGCTTATTGTATGTGTAGTGTCTAATAAAACATGAAAACAGATGATTTCAACGGTCTAGGGAAGGAAAACAACGAAGATGATTCTGGATCCTCAATTTATGGGTCGGAAGAAGAAGACGCTCATGAAGATGCCGAAATAATAACTGATGAAAAACCAAGTACATCGGCTTCCTCAGTTGATGGTAAACGTAAGCCTTTATCGGAGAGAAACGTAAAAAAAAGCAAGCCCAAAAAGAAATATGATACGCAGGAATTAGTGGATCGAGCCATTTTGAAGCTGAAAGAGAAAGACGGCTCCTCTGTGCCAGCAATTAAAAAAGCTATTATGGTTGAATACCCGGAGATGAATGAAAAGCGTTTACTAACGCAAATGAAGTATTATATAAAAAATGCTGTTCAAGAGGGACGAATAGAAAAAATTAAAATGTCTTTTAAGTTATCCAAAAGTGCAGCTGCCAACGAAAGGAAGAAGATCAGCGCAACGAAGCGACTGGAGAAAGTTAAAAAACCTGAAGAAGATAAAGTACAACGAAAGGTAACCAACCTATAGCGCACTGAAAATTATGATTTAAACTATTTTCGAATTGTATAGTTACCCAAACCGGTTCTGACGGCTGAAGCTAAAAAGAAAACCAAAGATGGGAAAACGCTGCCACCACAAGAAATTGTGCCCATCAAAATAACTAGAGCTGAAGCGATTATCAAACCGAAAAATTCTTCTGTCAACCCAACCCTTAAAGCCAAGAAAGCTCATGTCGTCCCAAATGCTAATCCTGAGCCTGAGCCTGATCCAAAAAAATCGAAATTAGAAATAGATCAATCTAAAAATAAGACAAAAAAGAGAGCTGGCAGAAACTTGCCTCGAAAATCAGTCAATCCATTGGTGAAACAGGCGGCGCCTCGTTCAAGAACAACCAAGAAAAAGGTTAGCAAAGACGGTGAACCTTTGAAGGCATCAAATCAGCAAGACCCTAAAGATGTTAAGAAGGAAGCAGCCAGTGTAAAGTCAAATGCTCGTAAAATTAAATCCAAAGGCAAAAAAATGTAAAATATAAAATAAATATGGAATTAATTAAAGGTTTCGTGTTGTGAAGTGTTTTTGCAAAGTTTGTAACGTGCGTGGTGTTGTTAAAAAAGCCTATATTCAATAAAAGTGTGATGCTAAGTAGTAGTACTTTTTGATTTCCATTTCGAAGTTATTTTCACTTTAGAAATTTTAACTGGGAGTAGTTAATCAACAGCTGATAAGAAGAAAGTCACTTGAATATGCCATTGTAGGCTTTATCTTCATAAGCAATTCAAAGAATAGAACATCCTAGAGTCATGGTTGTTAGAAATGCCACTCTTTTTTAACTTAATTTCCACAGATATTGCTAAAAACCGTTTGCTTCAACTGTGTTAAAAGAGACGAACTGCATCGCTGTTACAACTTTCGCATTGCTTGATCTTTCTTAATTCGCTCTTAATCAAAATGCCCGGCTTTGCTCTACTTGTTGTTGCAATATCTACAAGCAACGAAAACTTAATATTTGCAGCATGTGTTTAAGCAACGATGCGGAACCATTTCGAAGAATAAATTAAAATCGATTACAACATACGATGCAAACAACTTGAATACGCTACACTTATTGATGATTGCCGCCATGATAACCGATCGAACCCTGAATGCCATGTAGATATTATTGCTCAACTGATTCTATACTCGGCACTGATAGAAGATGTTGCCTAAGAGTTACGTATGTAAATATGCTTGAGTGCCTTGTTACGCAGGTTCGGAAATTAATTTCAATTTTTATTTGGGGTCATAGCCAATTTCTTTTTTGCTAAATATCGCCTTTCGTTTCGTCTTTGAATCGTCGATTAAACTTGAAATGCCTGCCTTTCGCAAATTTCACCTCCCTTTTCGGATTTAATTATTCATTAAAACTGTATAATTATTCATTGAAACTCTCAGAGCAAGTCAGGTCGACAAGCTGATACGGAATGCAGAATGTAATTGCGGTGCAATATTTTTGTTCCCAAATTATATGTATTCACATAGACGAAGAAACTCTTTCACACTGTAGGGTATTTAAAGTTCGTTAAAATACTTCAGCTTCGAAATAAAAGCTTAATTAACTTTCTTCTTTTTTTTTAAATCTGTACACTGCCTCCTCTCTGTGTGTTTTTTTGTACATCTTGGTGGCGATGCCAAGTTTTGTGTCCTTTTCCTTTTATCGTTGTGTCATGTACATTTTATGCTGTTCATTCTGTTTTTGTGCTGCAAAACTTTTGTAATTCTTCGAGCAAATAGGAAAACAACGAAAACTGCATTAACAACTTAACGACATTAACATGAACATTTGAAAAATTTTACAACAGGAAGAATAATTGACAATAATGTGAGAATTTGTTTGTAAAGTGATGTTAACATAGAACAAAGGAAAAAATGATAAAATTTTCAATTTACGTAGACGTATTAATTTAGCGCGATATATATTAGAAAAGTTTTTATATATAATTGTCTTAACATAATTGGGGTTGATTAAGCAAATTTAATACGAATGCGAACTTGATTGACATTTAGAACGGAATAGTAAGGAGCAACGTTGAAATTGTTTTCACGTTTCTCCCATGTCTTAAACAGTTATGAGCCAAAGCTGCGGTACAAATATTCGCATAGCTAAAGGGGAAGCAAAGGAATGTAGAAGCAGATCGGCAAACTATGAACGCCCAAACACTTACCAATTTAATTTGCAAATATAGTCATTGGTATATCTGAGAGAAATATTTGCGAAATGTTACATCGATGTTTGAGGTAAGTTACGGCGAAGCTTGTGAGATTATTATTACGATGTTTCCATTCCCTGTTCACTTTCGCCCTGTCAAGTCTTATGGGGTTAAGAACTCTTACAAGAGCGAGAGGCAAAGCAATTGATACGAAAATGAACTACAGGAGGGAGATTGAAATTGTTCTGCCATCAGACTGGTACGTTCATCTGAATGCTTATCTGAAAATTGGTGATGATCGAAATAATCAAGAATGCAAAGTTCGTTAGGTGACCTAAATCGTTTTTCTTTTCTGGGTTAATACTTTTTTTTACCGACTTCACAGCTTTCTTAAATGACCTTGAGCTTGCTATCAAGTTCACTTTCTTACTAGTTTGTGGGCTTTTTCATAGTGCAAAGCTTTGGATGCAATACGCAACATTTAACGATTTCTCCCTCGCAAGTTAACATTTATGTGTCAGTGTTGCCAACTTTTAACATGTTGTTCACTGCTAACAGCAAGCAAGCTTTTGTATAATAGGATACCAAAATTTACTATGATAGTAAATATTTTCATTAACTTGCGAGCACAATAAAGATATAAAATTAATTCAGAATATGTTTTCATTAAGTAAATACTTTTTAACAACATTTAAATACGAAAAATTCGTTCTACATTTGCAAAGGCATCTTACAGCCATCGAATCTATGTTTTTATTTTATATTGAATACTGATCAGATGTTAATTTGTCCGAGCGTGTTGTACGACTTCATTACGTAAGTGTTGCTTTCTAAAGAAATCAATGAAAAGTCAACATTACCTTAAAGTCAGCCATTGCTCAGTTGCAGCTGATAATACAGCAGCTGGGGTTGGAGGATCTGCTAGTGCACACTGCTCGCTATATATGCCCACTCATATCCAATACACCCAACGAGAAAAACAAGTGTATTCAAATTTATCGTCGTTTGTATCGGTTTGCTTGATCTGCGTTTTGGATACGATCTATTTTTTATTATCCGTTTGGATTCAGTAAAACTTTTTGTAAATAACGCTGGTAAAGGAATGCCTGTGCCACGAATGTCGCTGATTTAACTCGAATCGACAAAAAAAAGTCTTTAGGTGATAGATTGACACAGAAAAGGCAAGGGAGTGCACAAAATATCTCGGATCGGTTTCCATATTTTCTAATTTCTGATTTTCGGATTAGGTTACCGTCCGCATTCAACGGGTAAAGGACAATTCTGAATATGTCATAAAAACACGGCAAAACTAGTGTGTGTTTCTGGATCTTCGAATTAAATATGTACAGTCAATACAAAATGAATACAAGCTTTTTCGCTTAAGTTGTGCTTTTGATTTTTTCAAAATGTTGCAATTTTTTAGAGGATGCTATATAAGACATCATTAGATTCTTCTTGTTTTTGTTTGGCAATTAAGATAGATATCCTGCAGATTGGCGAAAAATAGTCACTCTAGATTTTCACGGTATGCACAGCACGTTATGTTAATAACGTCGTTTGTTATGAGCAGGATTTCTCTCCATATGTGCGGGAGTAGTCAACAAAGCGCAACTGTAGTAAAATGAATGTTAACCGTTTCGCCTACATTTTTTAATAGATCTTCAGACAACAGTGCAATTGATTAACACTCAAGCAACAACACATAACTGATTCGTTAAACGCAGCATTATGCATGAATATAGGTATATATTAGCAACTATGTCGCATGTCCGATGATTTTATTTTACCATAACTATGGCAAAAAAAGTATATAGAAATGAATCTCTAAAGATTCGAAGGCATATAAGGAAATTGATATATTACGCGCTTAGGCCTTAGTGCTTAGAACGATCTAAAGGGAATAGGAATTAATTAATTTCTTTAATAAGCACCAAGCAAGGCTTAATAGGACTTACTACTCAAATATTACCCACAGATATCTACGTGCTAACTACTAAATAATATTTACCTTATAAATATCTATATGAATATATATGGTTCAGGTATATATATTATAAATTATGGGATTTTTCTTTTCTCCTTCAAATTTCTGTTGCTATTATTATTCTTATCCTACACTCTTAAGTTTGGGCGAACGTACTACGCATTTAAAAGGATTAAAGGTAAATCCCCCCGATTCAGCCTAATTATACCCTACGGCACTTGTAGTCGACGGTACGTCAAGTTTATGCGGGTATGTGCGACACCCGGAAGAGCATAAAACAGATCCATATATTTATTATACCGATCAATTTAACCATATTTGGCCGTCCTCCTGATACCTGTTCATGTATTTTATGCTCCATCTACGGGTCGTAATTTTTGGGACATTTCGAAGCAATTTGGCCTGCTCCAAGGATGAATTCTAATGAAAATCTATTGTAAATTGTTGTAAAAAATTTCGATCGACTGGAGTAATTTCTGGAAATCCCTTCCATATAACCATTCCTACAACAACTAACTAAAATTAATTGCATTTGCTTCAAAGTATTTGAGTATTCTACTGTAGCATTGGCAAAATAATCTGGGGAAGAGATAGCAAATCTCTGCATTTTTTATTACTGATTCTTAGAAATATATATTCAACCGATTTTTGTGCGACTTTAAACTTATTTTGTGAAATTACTTAGTGAAATTGAACTTGTGTTTTCAAGTGGTTCAAGAGTCATTTACTCACGTCGCAGGAGTATGTAAGCAATCATGACCTGCAGTTGTCTCATGCTAAAGCAAACGACAGAAGTCGGTAATTTTAATTTTTATTTATTTTTTTGTGTTTCTCAGCTTTCGGCCTCTCTCGATGGAAGTTATAAATTTAATAAAAAATTGGTACTTACTTCGGTATACATTAACAGGAGGAAGAAAAATTATATTTTCATCTAAGAATTACTTTGAACAGATAAACCCTAGACCGTTTGCTTGCACTGTTGAATTTTCCTTTTCGTAAAAAAATTCGACAATGTTAATAAAAACGAATGAAAGAAAAATAGAAAAATTTCATTATCAAGACATAATAACGGAAGTAATATTTTTTCCTCTATTGGTAGAGGTTTATAGAGAGAAACAGTACTTTCCAACTAACAGATTTTGTTCGCATTCAAGTATACATTTTTGTTTCGTTATTTAATTGAACGAAAGAAGAGGAAAGTAAAGCGTTTTAGTTATAGCCAACGCCTCGATCAGCTATTCTAATATGTTCGGGAAGCGCACTTACGCAGATAGTACGGCGTTGTATGAATAAGTATCGGCAGATGAAGTTTGAGGACACTTCCATTATACTGATTGGAAAGGAAAGATTAAAAAGCAAAACATTCAAGAGTGATTGTCAGTAGTAAAAGGGAAAATGTATGGGAAAACGTTTAAAATTACGGAAAATTTCATTTATCGTAAAAACATTTATTTAACCGAAATCTCAATATAAAT